AGTTGGGCCCATGTTGCCTGTGGGGGCCGGCAACTCAGCAGGCTCTGCTGGGGCAGCAAGAGGTGCGTACCTGTTGCTCAGTTCTGACAGAGGACAATAAAGGAGACAATAAGGTAAGAATCAACCGAATATTCCAATTACCAAAAAAAGAAAGAAAGGAAAGACAAGCAAGGAAGCTGAGTAGCCTTTGGCTCTCACAAATCAGCCTTAGAAAAGCATTTCAAAGTCAAATGTCTGCTACTAAGAATGTCCTGTCCATGCCTCTATGGTTTTGCCCCACTAGGTGATAGGAATAGCAGTAGAAACCCACGGACTTCTCTCCCTTGGATCTGTGTCCATCTTAATAGTCCACCCTTTTTCTGGCTGTCTCCCATCCTGGTACCATTTATTTGTCATTGTTCGCTGCTCAGGACAGTGACCACCAATCAATCAAATTCACCATATGGGATAAAGTGGGTAAGATAACTAGTAGGGTGGAAGTGCTTGACTTTAGGAAGGCTGACTTCGGTGTGCTTAGGAGTCTAGTCAATGATGCACTGCAGGAAAAGAGTATTGATAAGATGGGAGTCCAGGAAGGATGGTCATTCCTAAAGGAAGCAATCCTTTGGGCCAGAGGGAGACTATCCCAGTATGAGAGAAAAGTGGGAAAGTAGCCAAAAAACGTCCTTGGCTAAACAGGGAGATCCAGGGGAGCCTAAGGGCAAAAAAGAAGGCAAATAGGTGGTGGAAGCAGAGGGAAGCTACCGAGGAGGAGTATACCTACTTGGCCCACACTTGCGGGGTGGCAGTTAGAAAGGCCAAAGCAATTACAGAGCTGAGGCTGGCAACACAAATTAAAAATGACAAAAAGTCTTTCTCTTTAGGTATGTAGGGAGTAAAAGGAAGTCGCAGGGCAGCATAGGTTCCCTATTAAACAAGAAGGAGCAATTAGTGACAGACAGTGGGGATAAGGCTGAGCTATTCAATGAGTTTTTGCCTCAGTGTTCCTGAACAGGGCTCAAGATAAGTCTCCAAATGGGTTCTTAGACAGGCATCAGATGGACACCAGCCCACCAACTGTCGATGCTGACTTGGTGCAGAGTTTATTGGATGGACTGGATGTGTTTAAGTCAGTAGACACGGATAAGCTGCACCTGCGAGTACTGAAGGAATTGGGCAGTGTCATAGCAGAACCACTGGCATGGCTGCTTGAGCACTCGTGGTGCTCAGGTCAGGTCCTGGAGGACTGGAAAAGGCCCACTGTGGTCCCTATTTTCAAGAAGGAGAGGAAGGAGGAGCCGAGTAACTACAGGCCAGTTAGTTTCACCTCTATCCTTGGACGAGTCTTTGAAAAAATTATTAAGGATCATATTTGTGTGAGTCCAGTGGGAAAAATAATGCAGCAGGGCAACCAGCATGGGTTTGTAGCAGGCAGATCATGCCTGACCAATCTGGTTTCATTCTATGACAGGGTCACAAAATGCTTACATGCAGGAGTAGAGGTGAATGGTGTTTTCTTGGATTTTAGCAAGGCCTTCGATATGGTATCTCATCCCATTCTCATAAATAAATTAAGAGGCTGTGACATAGATGCTTACATGGTATGGTGGGTGGCAAATTGGCTTAGTGATCACACCCAGAGAGTGGCAGTAGACAGGTCGGTACCGACCTGGAAGGATTTGGGTAGTGGGGTCCTGCAGGATTCAGTCCTTTGACCTGTACTCTTCAATATCTTCATCAGTAACTTGGATGTGAGTGTGAAGTGTACTCTGTCCAAGTTTGCGGATAATACTAAATTGTGGGGTGGAGTGCACACCCCAGAGGGTAGGGAATGATTGCAGGCAGACCTGGACAGGTTAGAAAAGTAGGCAGTACACAATAAGATACAGTACAACAATGACAAGTGCAGAGTGCTGCATCAAGGGCGCAAAAATATCCAGCACACCTACTGTCTGGGAAGTGATCCTCTCAGCAGCACAGAAGCAGAGAGGGATCTTGGAGTCATAGTGGACTCCAAGATGAACATGAGGCATCAGTGTGATGAAATCATGAGCAAAGCTAACTGCACCTTATCATGCATTAATAGATGCATGACAAATAGAACCAAGGAGGTGATACTTCCCCTCTATGCGGCATTGGTCAGACCACAGTTGGAGTACTGCGTCCAGTTTTGGGTGCTTGCTTCAAGAAGGACATTGATCGACTCGAGAGAATCCAGAGGGCCATTCATATGGTTAGGGGCTTACCGGACATACCCTGTGAGGAAAGATTGAGGGACCTGGACCACTTCAGCATCTACAAAAGAAGGCTGAGAGGTGATCTTGTGGCTGCCTACAAATTCATTTGAGGGGCTCACCAAGGGATTGGAGATGCTCTGTTCACCAGGGCGCCTCTTGTGGTTACAAGGAACAATGGTCACAAACTGACAGAAAGCAGATTTTGGTTAGATATCAGGAAAAAAAAAGTCTTCATGGTAAGGTTTGCCAAAATTTGGAATGGGCTTCCAAGGAAGGTGATACTCTACCCTACCTTGAGGATCTTTAAGAAAAGGCTGGATAGGCATCTGGCTGGGGTCATCTGACCCCAGCACTGGTTCCTGCCTGGCAAGGGGTCAGATTCGATGATCTGTTGAGGTCCCTTCTGCCCCTAGCATCTATGAATCTATGAATCTAGACAAGTGTCCTAGTGATTTGGATACTGGACCACTGAACCCTCCTCCTCCAGAATGAAGCAGTTTTCTTGATGTCAGTTTTTATTATGATACTGTCAGAAACTGCTATAGAGTGATGTGCCTACCTGGTTAAGGCCCTCAAGGGAAAACAGAATCTCAAATCTGCATAAATGCCAAAAATGCCACTTAGGCAGCTACATCTGGACTTTTAAGCAATTCTGAGATAAGTTATGTTGTAATGGACTTTGATCCTCAGAGTTAGAACCTAGGACTTCTTCAAGTAGTTGATGTGGACACTAAGTCTTTTAAGAGGCATCTCCATTAGGAAACATAGTTGAATGAAACTGCAAATAATTGGAAGTTGCCTCAATATAAGATGAGTTTGCAAACAACTGAAATGAGCTTTCTTAATGCTGTCTAATTATGTTGGATACAAAAAAATGCATTCAGTTACAATGCACATATTAATGAAGTAGGGGCTATTAATCTCTAAACTGTGACTTAAATTGTATATTGAAATAGCTACTGCTTAGATACAATGAAGATATACTTTGTTAAATACTCCAAGTATAACGTTTTAGGATACTGAATCATATTCAACACCATTATTATTTTGACTTTATTTTTTCTGACACACGAGTTCTAGCCCCCTCCCCCCTAAAAATAAACAAAAAACCAAAAACCAAGAAAACTAAATGATAGTCCTTTCTTTCCAACCTTCACTTATTCTCCATTTTACCTCTTATGATGAAATAGTTATCTCATTGAGAATACAGGCACTCCTCACTTAACGACCGAGTTCCGTTCCTGCGACTAGGTCATTAAGCAAATTGGTCGATATGCGAGGAGCTGCCCCTTGATACTGCGTGCCTTGGCTTGAGATGCCGTGCTGCCGTTTCCACGACCAAAGTTCTCGTACTTACAACCAAAGTTCTCGTACTTACGACCAGTTCTCGCTGGTCCTAAGTCCGCGCGGTCGTTAAACAGGTAGGTCATTAAATGAAGAGTACCTGTACATGTGATTTGCTTAAACTCTTTGTCCAGCTATCGTCAGGCAGGAAGTAGGAGACAGATTTAATTTTATATAAAGAAGCTTAAGAAATAAACCAACAAGAAGAATAAACCCAAAGTTTTAAGAAAGCTGTTTTTTCCCCCCAGTAGTGATAGTCACTCACCAAAAAATCAATTTGTCATTGAAATATATATGGAAAAATGGAGGTTTAAACAGAATGACAACATTCTCTATAGAGAGATCTCTTTAGCCATAAATGGAGAAGTGCACTTTCTTCATGATAATTGTTTTATTTATTTATTCATTTCTTATTGTAGGTCAACGCTTTCGTGAAGAAATGGCCATGGGAAACAAAACGACAGTCAGCTATTTTGTTATGTCAGGGGTTTCCAGTTACAAACAGTTCCAGCCTTTCCTCTTTGTGGTCTTTCTACTTCTATACCTACTAACTGTCATGGGGAATGGGGTGATCATGGTGGTCATAAGATCTGATCCTCACCTTCACACTCCTATGTATTTTTTCCTCTTCCATTTCTCCTTCATAGATATTGGGTATTCTTCAGTCACTGTCCCAAAGATGTTGCAGAATTTTTGGGCAGATAAGAAAACCATTTCTTTCCATGCCTGCATTATCCAGATGAGCTTACTTCTTCTGGGAGCCCGTGCAGAAGTTTTCATGCTATCAGCAATGGCCTATGATAGATACATTGCCATCTGTGATCCACTGCATTATGAAGAGACGAAGAATAAGCAAGTCTGCATAAGACTGGTGGGGGGTACATGTCTGATCAGTATATTGAATGCAGTAACAAACACTATTCCTGTGTTACATTTACATTTCTGTGGGCCCAATGAATTGAACCATTTCAGTTGTGAGTTCCCATCTTTACTACAACTGTCCTGCACAGATACTTTCATCAACAAGATGATATTTCTCATTTCAGCTATGCTTGTATGTTTGACCCCACTGTCCATCATCCTGGTCTCTTACCTCTGCATCATCTCCACAATCCTGAGGATACGCTCTGCTGAGGGCCAGAGTAAAGCGTTTTCTACCTGCAGCTCCCATCTCACTGTGGTTGTTTTGTACTATGGGGCTGGTTTATTTCGACATCTGAGACCCAGTTCAGCCTCTTCGGTGGTTCTTGTCAGACTCTTCTCCATCCAGTACAGTATCTTAACTCCCATGTTAAATCCTATCATCTACAGCCTGAGGAACAAGGAGGTAAAGGCAGCTCTAGGGAATATACTGAGGAAAATTCAATGCATGTGAATGTATTTAAATATTTGGGAATATTAATAGGTTAATGGTAACTGAGTGTTAAAATATTTTGATATCATGTAGGTGGTTGGCACAGGCTTTTAGTCTATAAAAATTAAGATCATTCTGAACCATAAGAATGTTTTTACTGCCATGGACATAGTCAATGCAACCTGTTGTGAAGGCATTGTAGGAGTAGAGGTGCCTGAAAGGAATGAATGTTGCTGAAGTAATCTCTAACTATGTAATAGTTCATCTTTCTTTTTTAATTTCTTATTCTCAGGAGTAAGAAGTCTTGTGGTTAGAACATGGATTTGAGAAACAGTGATTCCGATACATCTGTTAGTATGCTAAACAAGGATATTCAGCAAGAGAGAGAGTCTCAAACTGAAATACTCCATAGTCTAGCCTGTAGGGACCTCAATAATGTGGTGGGAAATATGGCTTCAAAGTGGACTGGAAGATGGGGTTGGTTGACAGCTGTGAATCACATATTAGGGAAAATGTCATTTGGTGATTTTCTTAATATAATTTTAAAATCCAATTGAAAATAAAATTGTTGAACTAGAAACCTTCCAGACACTGGATTAGTTTTCGTGGTCCCGTTACTTGAATTAACATCTCTGATTCAGTGTATAAGGTGTACCTCGACCCTGACTTCTGTCTGACTTAAAACCAAACATCATGATTGCCTCTCTCCTTGATAATTGTGCGGTTCAAGCTTTGATGATCTTTTCAGAAGTTTCTACTGGGTAGATAATGTGGCTTCTGCTTTAACACAAAGGCCACTGTGATATTACAGTTAGGTATCCTATTCCTTGTTGAAGGATTGAAGTACCTGACTGTGGTCATGGAATCTACTTGGTTGTAGGATAATTTAAAGTGGAACACTATGACACCCAAGTCCTCTTTTAGATTTAATCTATAGGGCTCAGGATCGGACCTTTCAGACATCTAATATAATGCGTGTGGGTTACAGGCAGTTCAATTTCACTCCAGAGCCCATTTTAGTGTTTGACTCAAATATTTTTTCCAGAAAGTCATCCCATCTTGATATGAAAGACACCAACTCCTGTCCAAATTGTCCATTGAAAATCTGCCCCAGTGATCAATAAACCAGTGTAAAAGGTCAAGGGTTTTTTTAATTTTGAATATGTTTGGTTTCGACTCCTAAACAATTTTTTTTTTTGTTTTCTGTCTCTCTATTAAGTCACCAGACATTTGGTGTCTGGCATTTGCTGTTTGCCAAGGTATGTATACACTGCTATTAGATCACCTCACATCAGAAATAAAGTGAATTGCCTTTTGCTGGTCTCATCCACAAAGGGCAGGGAGATAAAATTCCTATCCTGTTACTTTTCAAAAAAGCCTTGTGCATCCATCCAACCATTGACATAGGTCCTTGTGCTGCAACATCAAACTTGGAGCCCAAGTCAAGTCCACTATGTGTGACACTCTTTTAGCTGATATAGCCATGTATGTCATGAACATAAACTTCAGTGGCTATATTGATGATATAGGTTTTACTCCTATTCATAATTCTATTCCCTGCATCACTCCTATTCCCTCCCTGCCCAAACCCCACAGAGGACATAAGTGTGATGGCCTCTACACTGTTGACAATATTATCAGGTGTGGGTCTTACATGACAAATGCTTGCAGACATAGGCATATAAAAGTTTAGAGTGGCTGTTAACGAAGTTTGTGGAAGCAGAACCCTTGAACTGAGATATAATTCTGCCCCATACGTTGTTCGCAAGCTGGAAGTTTGCTGGGTACAGAGAGAAATTGAGCTTAACTGTGTTATGTATAGTAACTGTGTTGCGCTGTGTTTGTAAAATGCTATTGCTGTAAGTGATTGTGGTATAAACTGTGCTAGAACATAAAATGTAAATCAACACTTCTTGATAGGCTATGAAATACCTGCGAGTGACTACAAGAAATGGTGCTTCATGCAGAGCATCACCTCTATGGCCTCACAGAGTTCAACCATGCCACTTCTTGTTTTGCTTTGCTTGTGCTAGATGCATTTTAAGTTTTTTTATAGTATAAATGACAATGTAATGTAGTTTTATTAATTCCTAGAACTTGTGCAGAGATTGGGAACACAAAGTAAAATGATGGGATCCCCAGGGAGATCAAGCCGTTCCTGTGCAAACTTCACGCCTGGTTTCCATGGCCAGTTGGGAAAGGCCTAACCCTTGGCATTTCTCCATCCTTTTTACAGGATGGATGGGCACTGGTAGTGCTACAGTGGCACCAAGCATCTAGTTGAGAAAACAAGAAAGCATTGCCCACTATACAAGAGGGGTAACATTGCAAAGAACATGTTTGGTCCCCAAAGATTTTGACTGTAAGATGTTTTTCTGATCTGAATAGCCATTTAAAAAATCAGATAAGACACTGACTGTGGAGTAAAATACTACCTGAAATGCTGTATAAAAGGTTTGGTAGGCATCTCGGGTCGTAAATTCCCCAGTCCCAGTATGGGAGAGGCCTGTTTAAACCTAATTGGCTAAAACTCAGTTGCTGGGCTAGGGAATGCTGAGGCAAGATACCAAGTCAAAGGGAGTATGAGTGACATTTGAGCAATGGTTAAGGTTTCATCACAGCATCTAACCCATTGGAACTCCTAACCAAGAATGCTATCATGCTTTCCCCAGGATGACTGGTGAAGGTCCTCCCCACAAATCTCATGAACATTTGAGGTGATGCTAGTGATTATGCTCCATTATGGTGTGAAGGTGTGAACCTTCTCAGCTTTGGAACTGGACAGTCTGTCTAACAGAACAAGGCCAACAAAAACATATACTCTCTCTGTTCCCAGATTGTTTTTCAGATTATGTGCTACATTGCCCATAACATAAGATAAAGTGGCACCAGCTAACAAGGCCCCAGAGCAGGGGAGCCTGAGTCCTGGTTTTCGGGGAACAGACCAAATTAGGAGAAGACTCAGAAGGCTACGCGGATGTGTGACTACAGAGAGACACAACAAGAGAAAGACACGGATCAAGAGTCATCAGAAGTCATCGGGGGGAAAGATAATAGAAAAGCAGAGACTTGAGAGTAACAAAGGGTCCCACCTGGGTCCCTCCTCTTCCTCTTCCCTGAGAGGGGTCCCCATCCCTGTCCTCTGGGAAGGGTCCCTAAGGCCATCTTGGTCAGATGGCAAACCACCATCCCATCTCATCCACCCCACTGGAGGGGGGCTGTGGGCCTCAGTATTCTGCCTCCATGCTGCTGACATGTTGACATCTGACACCTAAGAGAGAGCCCCAGAGTGAAGACTGCATCCTGGCCAGATGCACTTTGACTCTGGTGACAGCCCTGGGATTTGGTAGATATATAACATTGTTTGATTGTTTGTATGGCTTCCTTTCTGTTATCACTGTGTATCAATAAATTTGCCTATTGTCAAGTAGAAAGGTTGTGGTCAGTCTGAGTGGTTCCACCCCCCTCCCCATTCCACGCCCCTTCTCCCCCGCCCCCCCAACAAGGTACCTGGGTTCTAAATCCAGATCCAACACTTTGGACTCTCAGGATCCCACCCTGTTGTCTCTCCTGTCACACCTTGATGTTATAACCAGACAGAGAGGCTGTCCCTGGAAGGCACAGGACTTTTGTGTCAGATCCTTGTCTGGTCTGAGGCCCCCTGGCCTTGGTCCACTCTGCTCTGGCTGGTTCCCTCCACCCAAGGTCTACTGTCCCAGGACTCTAGGGTCTCAGGCCCCTCATGGGCTATGTGCCACTTGGCCATAGTCACACCCCTGAAATCTCTAGGCCCTTTGGCCCTAGTCTCACCCTTCATAGGCTTTAGGAGACTCAGCCTTTGTCTCACCCTTCATCGGTTCTGTTCCTTTCAACTCCCATCTTGCTGTTCACAGGCTTTATTTCTTAGTCTTTCTGGTCTCATAACATAAACATTCCACTGACTGGAATACTCACCCATTTTGAAAAAAAAATAGGATCTGGTACACTTTTCATGGTATGTATGCACTGTGTATCCATATGGACATTCACTTAGGTCATAAACATGACTATATGCTTTGGTCAGGAGGGATATGATAGAAAGATTATAGACACATTCCCTGGGATTGTATAGAACTGTGCAAAGCTTCAGTCCCTGATTCAATTTGGGAGAGATTTGGCCCAATTTGGTGGCCAAATCTCCAAATCTGAATCAAATCAGAGGACCCTTTAATCTCTCCAAATTGAATCAGAACCCTCTAAATCTATTCGGAAAGATTCAATGATTTGGACATAGACATAGATTTAAATGTTTTTTCTACATACCTCTAGGTAGCAGGCAGATCGTGAATGATGCAAAGCTGGGGTGCATGGACCATCCCACAGAAGCACGGGGGGCTCCCCAGTGTGCTTGGCAGCAGACCTGGAAGTGGACCAGAAGCACTTCTGGTCCACTTCCGGGTCCACTGGGAAGCATGCTGGGGGCCCCCCCTGCGCCCCTCTGGCTGGGCGACTGGTGTCTCTTGGGTTTGGGGGGGCACCTGGGGTCCCCCTTTGGCTGATCACCAAACTGGGAGGGCATAGGTGGGGACCCTAGTGCACTCTCTGATGAACCCAGAAGTGGATTGGAAGTACTTCCGGCCGCTGAGCAGGTGAGGTTTGCCACTGAGCAGGTGGAGCGCCCCTCCCCCCCCCCCCCCCCCCCCCCCCCCCCCCCTACCCCCACCACGACACTTCTTACTCCATGTGTCCCAGCATTGCAGCATTCATGAGCTGTGCTGGTACTTTGAGGTATGTAGAAAAAAATATTTAAAACTGTGTTTATGTCTGAATCGCTGGTTCTCCAAATCAGCATCAAATCTTCAGATTCAGCTTTGGCTGAATTGAATCAGGGACAGTGATCCAAATCAACCAATTGAATCACTGTCCCTGATTTAGTCCAAATCCAAATCAAATAGGGCCTGGTTTGCATACCCCTAATAAGTAATCAAACTGTACCTAGCAAGAAACCTTGCATAGTGTATGTTTGGTGCCTGTTGAGAATGAGGGTTCTCCCATGTTTTAGCCCAAGAGCCTAGTGGTTAATGCTCCTGCCCAGAAAGCAACAGACTAATGTTCTATGTTTCCTGCCACCCAAGGAGGGCTCAAACCTGCATTTGTCTAACTTTGGCTCATGGTACTCTATGTACCGAGTGACAGGTTAATCGAGATCCGGGGAGGGCACTCCCCTTACCCCCACCTTTGAAAGGGCTGCCGTGCCAGATAGCAGCCTACTCTATATGCCCAATTGGGAGGGTATAGTGAAAAAGAAATTGCCCTTACACTCAGAAAACCAGGATTCACAAGAGTCACATGCTGAATGGGACAACAAAACTGACCAACAGGAAATGCGGAAGAGAAGGGCATACATGGAATGCACTTTAGGAGTGGGGCCAGGTACTCTAACTGTCTAAGCTACCAGTGATATTAAGCAAATCAAATCCCTTCTCTGTCCAGAGCACTGCTATCACCAGGTTATTTGCTTAGTCTTAGCTAAGGTAGCAGAACACTTATACTCCTCTCTCTGGTCTTGGGCTAGAAAGAGAACGCACAGGAGGGATGAAGCCTGTAGCCCAATGCTTATGGAACTCATCTGGAAGGAAGAAGTCCCTGATAATTTCAACTCAGAAATGTGTTTCCTGTTCTTATCCAGCACCTATTTTATTACAAAAAATTAGTAGTCCTGGAACCAGGGATGAAAAACCAGGCACCCTCTTTCGGTGTTGTTGCACTAAGCAGCACTTCCCACTGTATTTTAAAGGCAAGTGGTCAGATACTCAGGCGCCTTCTAATTTGCTGACCTTCTGACACTGACTCTTGCATCTTTGCCTGAAAAGTAGCTCAGCTCCTTCTACAGAAAAAGGGAAGAGGGCCTTCTACCCAGTCCATTACAGAGCGTAGTGGAAAGGTCAATCTCCAAGGAAGGGAAGCTAAAGATTTGACTTCACTAAGATGGAAAAGAACTCCAAACATAGCCTGCTATGCATAAGGTGTACAGCACTATCACTCATGAGAAGCACAATTAGGTGGTCTGGATATCACGGATAAAGGGGATGCTGATTGCATAGCTTGAGTCAGAAGACGAAGCTTTGGAGACACCAGGAGTGCAGGAACCCTTCCCTGTTTGCCATTGGGTCACACGAGGGACATCTTGTCTCACTGAATCACTCTTGACGGGCTCCTAAATGTCACTCTTGGTTGTATAAGACATAGGTGCCTAACATCCCCCAGCTAGACAAGGTGGCTAATCTTTGAGAGCTGTAATGCCTCAGTGGGGGTGCTCATGTGACCAATATAGATTGCTTTGCAAGTATAATCATGGCAAAGCCCCAAAAGTAGTACAAGAGACACTACCAAATGGCTACAAAGATTTTGCTTGAGATGACATGCAGAGGTATATATATGATTGAAAACCCTAAAATATCTTGTTATTTCACTGACAGTAATCTGTAAAAATTCCTCCTTGGATTATTGATATTGATTCCTGCAATGGGATTCCAACACAAATGGCCCATGGTCTTGCTAGGCAGAAATTAACCTGGCAATGAAAAGGGCAGGGTTATACAATCATTGTAAAGATACTGAATAACAGATATCTCAGCTGATACCTTTCAGGACCAGAGCTGGTGTGTGCAGCACTACACTAAGATGGCTACAAAGCATCTGGTGCAAGAGGTAGAATATAGGGAGAAGGCACGAAATGACTCCCCCCACACTGCGAGGTGCCATACCACATGCAAATTTGCAGGCCCATCATGTTAAGATGAGACAATCCCAAGACTGGAAATATCCTTCTAATTCTGGGATAGTTCTTTTCTCCCTCCCCAAACTGGACTGTGTGATAGCTTTACTATCACAGTTGGGTTTTTTTTTTCTGTTCTTTTAATCTAGTTCATGGATACTTTAAGACCAGGTCCCAAAGAAAGCAAACACTCTTTGTTAGGAAATAATTGGTCATCTGGGCATCAGAAAAAAAATAAAAAATTCTGCTCTTGATATAGAACTGATGTACATACATAACACATTCATTTCTGTTCTGAATGTCTCCCACCCATACAGTACCAGATTCTATGGTTCAGGAAAGCAACAGCCAGTTACCCTTTTTCAAAATAATTCAGATATGAAATAGATGTGCATTTTCTCATTCTCAAGCTTATACAAGAGAAGAATAAAGTAGCAAGTGTTTACATCTCATATTTCCTGGAATCTTGTTTCCACTCTTAGGTGAGTTTTTCCTATTGTATTCCTATGTAATATAGGATACTCATTTTGAAATCATATTGTAAACACAGTTGTGGGGAGTTTATTGTATGCAGCCTCCTCCCCAGTGGCTTAAAAACTGAAATTTTCTGTGGAAGCAAAATAAATAAATAAATAAATAAATAAATATGGTGATTACTGAGTGGGGGTTTGGTTTGTCATGAGGTTACACAGTGTGGTGTATCAGAATCTCAGAGAAGAAAAATCAAAATTGCTTTGTTTAATATTCCATATTCCTGCACTCAGAAAGGACATGAACATGCCTTGAACTTCCTCAAAGCATTTTTTTTTTAGCTGAAAAGCTCTGCTCTTTAGTGAGGCTACTTCATGTACCCTATGATTTTAAATTATTTGCTGACAAAAGAGTGACCTTCCCCTCTAATAAGAACTTTTTGGAAGGTTCAGGGCATCCCTTCTTTACTGCATCAGACCATTATTAATCTACCTCCCACCCTCCATGTTATACAACTATCTCCTAAGATCCTTTTCCTGGAAGTTTCACTGTTTCATCTACATCGCGGTTTTGTTGCTTTATAGGATGTTAAGGTACCCCTCTTTCCCATGATGTGCAGCACACTGTTTTAGACTATTTCTTTGTAAAAAAAGAACCTTTCTCTGTGGCCAACAGC